GTTACCATAGCATTTATTGTAATGACTATTCGCTAAACTGACGATAATCCTGATATTTTGCTATAAAGACATCAATGTTTAAAACAAAGATCTAGGGGGGGATGGGCACCTTTGGAATTGAGTTATGCATAACGTCATCTAGTCAAATCAAGAAGTCCTTCGTCGGAGTAAAAGAGCAATGATAACAACAATAAACCAGTTTCAAATAGTACACCGACTTACTTACTGACTCAAATAAAAGCAATTAAAACAGTTTTTTAACTGTTAAGCGCTTAATAAGACGATATAAGCTCAAAAAGCATAACAACGAAAAACGAAAAGTTATGTACAATAGTTTCATTAGAAACACATCAAACCGAGCTTTAAATTTTCCCGAATCTAAGTTATTATTGCAAGGGCTTAAGTTTATTCCTACACCGCCCATACTCAGAAATCATAAATCACTTCTAAGTGATTTTAACCGTTTCGCAAGGCTTTTAAGAATCAAATACTATTTTGCTAATAAAGACAGCAAACCAAACAACGTTCATGTTAAATCTCAGTGGCACCCACTACCAACACCATCAGTGGCACTGGAAACATATCTGGAAAAAAATAAAACATTATTGTCATCAATTGATTTCATTAAGGTTGCAATTGAGGATAATCTGTCTAAGCAAGAACGAGTAGCTTTGAAATCTTTAAAAACGCGATAAAAATCTGAATTTCAAGAAAGCGGACAAGGGAACCACTACTGCTGTCATGAACACTATAGAGAAGAGTGATAGTGAAGGACAACAACAAGTCAACACAATGACTGAAAGTTCTACAAACCACTTTTCCTACCCTATAGTACAATCAACAGCCAATAAAGTAATTGCCTTATCAATAAACTTTACAATAACGGCTATATTGATAAAATGACACACAAGTGGCTCTCTTTAGGAATAAAACCACCCAGAATACCAGAATTCTACACACTGACTAACATCCATAAAAAGATTCCAGTTGGTAGACCTATTGTATCAGGTACTAATGGGCCCACAGAGCGCATGTTTTGTAGATACCCTTATACAGACTTTATCAATTTCATTGAGAAAACAACCATTCCTAGTAATTCTATTGTCACTACTTTGGACGTTTGTTCACTTTACACTTACACCCCTCAAGAAGAGGGTATAAGCTGGTATAAGTGTTATTTGCAATGCTTATAAATCTTATTATCAGCCTAATCTACCTATACCAACGCTAGAGTTGAGTAATTTACTAAGGCTTATTTTAAGTGAGAATTCTTTTAAGTATAACGGCAAACACTACCTCCAAACAAATGGAACAGCTATGGGTACTAAGATTGCAGTAGCATTTTCAATTATCTTTTTGGACGATTAATGAAGCAGAAATTAACGAGTCTGTCAATTGTGCGAATTCACAACACACTACGATCAAATTCACCAGCGAAATCTCTCAAAACAATATGGTTTTCCTTGATAATGAAGTATACCAAGGTGATCGTTTTAAAGAACGAAATATACTTGACATTCAAACGCATTTTAAACCTACTGAAACTTTTCAGTATTCTCACTTCTCTTCTTGTCATCTTTTCAGTGTCAAGAAAGGATTCATCAAGGGAGAGGTTTTACGGCTTCTAAGAACTAACTCAACCAAAGAATCTTTCGAAACAAACAAACACAACTTTAAAGTTGGTTTAATTAAAAGAGGATACCCTCCTCAACTAACACAAAAGATTCTTGACGAAGTTCACTGATTCTCACAGAGAAGTAAAGCTTTGATACAAACTAAATGCAAAACGAAAACACTTTCTCCAGAGAGTTGTAGTTTGTGTGGCGTCCTTTATATTTTATTATTGGTTTTAGAAAATACTAAGATTAGAAATTATAACTATTGCTTGCGTGCTGCTCGCCCAGCTAGAAGGATAATTGGTTTTAATTATGTTGCATCATTTCACACATCGATAGGTTTTTGTCTAGTTTGGTGAGTYTCTGGTGAAAAAGGGTTTGATTGTGCGTGTATGGTTAATCGAATCAGTCCTGGATCCCTTTATTTAAAGAAAAATCGGGCCTGATCAAAAGAACAGTTCCAAAGTTGAGCGTCAAAAGGTGACAAGCGTCTATTTAAGTTCATAATATGATGAAACCATTTTACACGGTCTACAAAATTTGAATAAAAGACTAAMTTTAAAATCCATTATCGGTTTGCATTCAATTTAAGGAGTGTTTCACTTCAAAACAAGTCTGTTTGAATCAAGTCAAGTCTCAAAAACTCAAGCTCTGCTCAAGATTTTTTAAAGGGAAGCAAAATGCTAGGAAACAAACTAGTAGTGATGCTCCTCGTAATGTTGGTTGTGTGGATTGAAGCCATTCCTGTACCACAGGATGATAAACTGCAGCCAATAGCGTTAGATACAGCTACTGATGGATCTGATGCCATTGATGGTTTTGATTATGCTGATACGGGTGAGTTTCTATGTATGTGAAAAGACTTTATCAGTATTTCACTTTCGAAGTTGGTCTGGTAGGCAATCAACGACTGATTTTCTGCGCAGTTCTTGGGTCGGTTGCTCATTTAATGTATCACTCTGAGGTGAATTTCAATTCATAGTATCGATGGAAAGATGGGGCGCACGTGAAGAATGAACTTTCACTAGGAAACCAGTAGGATTCGTTGAAGTTTCTTTTTAATTTTTAAAATTAAAAATTTCAAGAGTCTCAAAAATTTTCAACAAGAAAAACCCCTTATATAGTTATGAAGGAGGTCTAGCAAGATTCACTTCTTAACTTCTTCTTATTTTCTTCTTCTTCTTCATCTTCTTCTTCTTCTTCTTTCGTCAACGAAAAACCACTTTCAGCGTGAGCTCGCAAACACAGAGCTCGAATATTTATGAAAATTCCAGTAAAGCATTGGAGAAGGGGTTGAAAAATGAAATACTTATCACAAACAACAAATATAACACCGATTCGGTCCGATAGCTGGATTTTTTTCAACATGTAAACCTAACCCTCAATATGCAAAAGAGCAGAAGAGGTATCGATGTGTGAAATAATTCAATATAATTAAGATCAATTATCCTTCTAGCTGGGCGAGCAGCACGCAAGCAATAGCTATAATTTCTAGTTCTAATTTAGTGTTTTTAAAACCAAAAAACGCTTCATTTAAATCTGTAGAAAATGCATTCGTGATGTGAAGCTCCTTGAAATTAAATTAGAATGGCGTTTCACTATTATTTGTTTGCATATACCAACTTGTGTACTTCCTAAGAACG